CTTTCTTCTCCCTCCAGCTATGGGTAAATAGCAGGACAGACTGGGTTCTATAGCCTTGGATGGCAGAAGGAGAAGGAAAACTCTGAATTCAAACCTGCTCTTAGAGGAGGGTGAATGGAGTCTCTCTGAGTCTTGGTTGGCAATCCATTTAGTGATGGTGTCACGATAAATACACCCTTGATAGCCCTAGCGAAGCATCAAGAATTCAGCTATTTGATAAGATTATGAACTACACCAATCAAAGTATTGGTGAGGCCGCAAGATGATGATGAGAAGTGGCAATTGCGTCTAAATCTAGTAGCATGCTTAAATTCACGTTGTCGGATCTCCAGGCGGAAAAGCTTATCCGAGCAGTTGACATGAAAATATTTGTAGAAAAGACAGAGGGAAGTCACTTCACATCGTCGAGAATGTTACTGGACACCAGAAGCCTGTTCGGGGTCGATTTAATTCCCTGAACTTTGTCAAGGACCTCGAGATGCTTAGTAGGAGCAGCAGACTTGATATTCAATACACAGAAGAATGGTAGATTTATAAATGTGCAACATGGATTCTGATGAGAAAATTATTTGACCCCCTCATCGTGTACCTTGCGTCAGACGTAACACGTGACTTGGTATAGTCACACCCACTTCATATCAATGGAAAACATGAAGACAAGCAGTCGTAGATTATTGGTCTTCTGGAGTTTAGCCTCAGCCGTCCTGATGTTAAGCAGAAAACATTCTTTGGGGTGATTAAAAGAAAGCAGTTTTGTTTTGAAAACGTTAACATTTGTAAGACATTGGCATTGGTTTAATTTAGCTTATATTGGGATTAAATTGTTAAAAGCTAATAGTCTTACTACAAATAATAGTAGTAGCAGTATTAATAGATAAGAAGTGGGAGAAAATAAACTATTAGAGGAGGAATGGCGATTGCGTCTTGTTAGTACAACAATCCTAGTAGATAATCTAATAGCACACTTAAATTCATTTTGTCGGGCCACCAGGCAGAAAAGCTTATCCGTGTATTTGCCATGAAAATATTTGTAGAACTGACAGATAGAAGCGACTTCACCTCGGTGAGAAAGTCACTGGAGACGAGAAACCTGTTCCGGATCGACTGCATTTCTCTGAACTTTGTCAACAAACTCGTGCTTTATGGACAACTTCCAAACTCCAAGTTGGACGTCCACTCTAGTATTGGAAAAGCGTGCTAAAAGATTTATTAAAATTTAGTAAATGTTTGCTTTGAAGATTGCTGTCACATCTGGTCTGGTTCTCCTGCTATATATTTAGAGATTCATGATTCAATTCAAAGAAGAATCTGCAATTTTCTTTGTCCTGACCTGGCATCTTACCTTCCACCCACCCTAACGTAGCTTCCATTTGCCTTTTTTATAAATACTTTCGTGGTGATTGTTCTGATTAATTTTCCTCTGTGGTACCTAGACTTTATAAATTTATACTCAGTACCAGATGGGCGGAAAGGTCTCATCGTTTTACAGTTGGCTAGATGTAAGTTCTATGCTGATAGTTGCTTATTCTTGTACTTCTTGCTTGTGGAACTATCTTCCGCCTCCTCCAGCCAGTCAACTTTAGTCTTCAAAAGTTACCTTCTGTCTTCTTAATTTCTGTTCTTTTATTACTCTCTCCCCTTTTTTCTCATATTCTCACACACTCAGTAACCCCCTTGCATCTTAGTGGCTTTATTGCCTAGCTTGGGATGAAATGATTAATGGTGGACTCTCCTATGGTGAACGATAAATAAAGGTTAGCAGTGGGTGGCGTCTTTCATTTTATACCTATGCATGCTAGCACGGGCAATTGTGGAGAAAATCAGGTAAGGGAAAGACATATTTTTTTTAGTGCTTTCTTGTGTGATAGTAGCCCAGCCTTGCTGAGGACGACAAAGCCACACTGACATATATATATATATATATATGTGTGTGTGTGTGTGTGTGTGTGTGTGTCTGTGTATACGTTAAATTTCTCAGAATAATTCTGATGATAAGACAATTTGAATAAAAAGAAGACAGTTGGAAAATATATTTCTTAGTCATTTCCGACGCGTTTCGTCAATGAATAAGAAATATATTTTCAAATTGTCTTCTTTTTATCCATATATATATATATATATATATATATATATATATATATATATATATCAACATAGAAATCAACACTTAGAGGCGACAGTCTGGTTCATGCTAGGTGCAATCGTCAGGCCACGAGTGCTGTTATTTTTCTCGGCTATTTATATATACCGGTCAGTGGTGCATTGTGGGTAGTCTATTTTGGCGGTTATTTTACCGGAAGTCGTTTATTTGTTTATTTATTTATTTGGCTTAAATTATTTTGCATGTTTTTATTCATTTTTATTTTTTATTTTTATTTTTTTTTCAACCCCAAAATTGAATAAATAGCTTTAATTATCTTTCCAAACCAAAATAAAATTATTAAATAAGCGATATAAACAATTTTTACTACGTTAATAAAAACACCAATTAAAATTAAAATAAATAAATATATAAGATAAGAAATAAAAATAAAAATAAAAAATAAAAATAAATAAAAACAAGTAAAATAGTTTAAGCCAAATAAACAAATAAACGACTTCTGGTAAAATAACCGCCAAAATAGATTACCCACAATGCACCACTAACCCGTATATATAAATAGCCGAGAAAAATAATAGCACGCGTGGCCTGACGATTGCAGCTAGCATGAAACAGACTGTCGCCTCTAAGTGTTGACTTCTATGTTCACTTTTATATTTACACTTCTCTATCTCTGATATTGAGCATTTTATCCCATAAATATTGCACATCGTAAGACTATATTTCTTCATATATATATATATATATATATATATATATATATATATATATATATATATATATATATATATATATAAATTATGCGTGTATAATCATCTATATATAAACTTATTTTTATATATTTGTTAGCGAATTTTCTTTTTAAACTTTTCTTTTTTTCATTATTATTATGGTAATTATTATTGTCGTTCGTTTATTTTTCTCTCTCTTTAGTAGTAGTTATTCTCATATTCTCTAACGCTAAGAAACCCCCTGCGTCCTAGGGACTTTATTGCCTTACTTGTAGTGAAATGATTAAACAAATAGACAATATTTTTGACCTCTCCCTTTAAAATTCGATCTTTATACGGCGGGTTTGAAAAAGGAATAGATTTATTGTTTCCGGTTTTAATGGTTAGACGTTCTTTACTTCCCGTTCATATGGTTATTCCGGGGCTTCTGTAAAAGAAGAAAGCCTTGACGATTTGAAACTCTCTGTCATTTGGTTTTAGGCTAATTTCTTTTTATTCTTTCTTTTTTTTTTTTTTCTCATACATATGAATATCTTTAAAGTATTGAAAATACAAGAATATGGAATAAAAGAAGTGATTAGATTGAAACGAATATGACTGAGGCAGAAGGCGGAAATGTTGGCGGGGTATAAAAACGAAAACGCAAAAGAGTTTCAACTCAAAAAGAAACCCGACTAAAAGAAAAGATAAAAAAAAAAATTAAAATATTTGAATGAAAGCTTATAAGCAAAGTAGAGACGTTAAAAATATCGAAAAATAAAAACAAGAATTCAGGTAGACTAAAGAGTAACGCATGAAAGGGCTCGAAATCATTTTATGTGAGAAATATATTTGAAGCGAGTATGGAGAAGAAAAAGAAATATGCAGTAATAAGCCTCATGGAAGTAAGATGGACGCCATGTAATAAAAGTCCAACATAAAATCAGAAAATGAAAATAATTAGAAGAGAAAGGCGAAAGAATTCTTACAAAGGAGGGACATATAAAATATGTATTAATAGGAAAATATGTTTTACAATGAAGAACGCAGATTAAAAAGAAAAAGGAAGAAAAATCAGTGGAATTAAAAGAAATAATTATGTAAGAAATAAGAAATGGTAAATGTTTAAGAATAAAAGCTGTATGAAGAAAGGCTGAACGAAAGAATGAGATAGAGACAGAATGAAAAGAGTGAAAGATCAATGTTAAGAGGAACAGAAACATATAATGACCGTGCGAGCGGTTATTGAATGTTACGTAAATACAAGAACTTAGTGGAAGGAGAGAAAGATTTGGGGAAAGAAATGAAGAGGGAAGCAAGAAACTGAGAGTCAAAACATGAATGAAAGGAAAAAGAGGGAGAAATGAGAAGGAAAGAAAGACTTAAACATGGAAAGAATGAAAGAAGAACCGACAATGGAAGGAAGAGGGCAAAAAAGAAATCTGGAAAGAAAGAAAGAAAGAAAGAAAGAAAGAAAGAAAGAAAGAGACTAAGAAAAAAAGAAAGAAAGAAAGAAAGAAAGAAAGAAAGAGAGAGTCTAAGAAAGAAAGAAAGAAGGAAAGAAAGAAGGTAAAAAGAAAGAAAAAAAGAAGAAAGTCTAAAAGAAAGAAAGAAAGAAAGAAAGAAAGAATTACAGAAGTTAAGGAAGAAAGAAAAAATTAAGAGTCTAAGAAAGAAAGAAAGAAAGAAAGAAAAGAAAGTCTAAGAAAGAAAGAAAGAGAGAGTCTAAGAAAGAAAGAAAGAAAGAAAGAAAGAAAGAAAGAATTACAGAAGTTAAGGAAGAAAGAAAGAAATTAAGAGTCTAAGAAAGAAAGAAAGAAAGAAAGAAAGAAAGAAAGAAGGCTGCAAGTAAGAAAGAAAACCAGGGATGGAATGAAGAAAGTCTAAAGAAAGAAAGAAAGAAAGAAAAAGAAAGAAAGAAAAGAAAACAAGGGACTAGTGGAATGAAGAAAGAAAGAAAGAAAGAAAGAAAGAAAGAAAAGTTAAGGAAGAAAAGAAAGAAAAAATTAAGAGTCTAAGAAAGAAAGAAAGAAAGAGAGAGTCTAAGAAAGAAAGAAAGAAAGAAAGAAAGAAAGAAAGAAAGAAAGAAAGAAAGAATTACAGAAGTTAAGGAAGAAAGAAAGAAATTAAGAGTCTAAGAAAGAAAGAAAGAAAGAAAGAAAGAAAGAAAGAAAGAAAGAGAGAGAGAGTCAAAGAAAGAAAGAAAAAAGAAAGAAAGAAAGAAAGAAAAAAAAAAGAAAGAAAAAAGAAAAGTAAGAAAGAAGAAAGGACCAGGATGGAATAAAAGAAAGAAAGAAAAGAAAGAAAGAAAGAAAAAAAAGAAAAAAGAAAGAAAGAAAATTGCCACAGGGAAAATGGAATGAAGAAAGAAAGAAAAAAAAGAAAGAAAGAAGAAAGAAAGAAAGAAAGAAAAGGATTACAGCAAGAAAAAGAAGAAATAAAAAATTAAAAAGAAATTTAAAGAAAGAAAGAAAGAAAGAAAGAAAGAAAAAAGAAAGGACAATAAGAAAGAAGGGACTAGCGATGGAATGAAGAAAGAAAGAAAGAAAAAAAAGAAAGTTAGAAAGAAAGAAAGAAAGAAACAGAAAATAAAGAAAGAAAAAAATAAGAATCTAAGAAAGAAAGAAAGAAAGAATTACAGAAGGTAAAGAAAGAAAGAAAAAATTAAAAGAAAGATTTAAATATGGAGAAAAGAAAGAAAAGTGGACAATAGAAAGAATAGAAAGAAGAAAGCAAGAAAGAAAAGAAAGAAAGAAAGAAAGGAAAAGAAAGAAAGAAAAGAAAAGATTTAAATGAAAAAAGAAAAAAAAAGGGAGAATAGAAAGAAAAGAAGGAAAAGAAAGGCCAAGAAACTGAATTTAAAGAAAGAAAGAAAGAAAGAAAGAATGAAAGAAAGAAAGAAAGAAAGAAAAAAGATTTAATATGGAAAGAAAGAAAGAAAGAAAAGGAAGGAAGGAAAGGTGCGAAATTATAAAGAAAAGTAAAGATATGGAAGATATGGAATTTAGAAAGACGAAAAATTTAAATGAATGAATAAAACGGAGCAAAAGCAAAAATTTAAATCGAAATAATTTGAAATAAAAAAAAAAGGAAAAGAAACGAAAAAAGAAAAGAAAAAACGTCAACTTGAATGCAAGTGGTAATATTTAATATCTGAATGTGAGGCGGGCAAGGAATAAAATACATCGCCAAGGGACCCTAAAGAAAAGGTGAAATATGTTTCAGTGTATGGGATTGAAAATGGCTGGCAAAAGAAATCAAGGACGCACGAGAAAAGCCGAAAATGAAAAGGAGGTAAATGAAAATGAAAGAAAATAACGAAGAATATTAGCAAGATTTTCATTATCGTGTTCGAATTTCTTTTACGTCTGTCTGTCGACCGCCTTTTTTAAATGTTTCATTATTTTGTTATTTTTCCGCCATTTTTTTTTGTCGTCTGCTCTTTTCATATATTGAAGTTTTCCAGCTTCCCTACTTGTCTCTCCTTCTTAGCAGCTGCTGCTTCCTTCATTACTCTTTGTTAAATCCATGCATCAAAAAACTGTTAGAAAAGCCCTTAAAAATTGCAGTTTAAAACAAGTAAATTAAAATTGTAAAAAAAAAAAGTACCCCTCCTCCATTTCACTTCAGAAATAACTACATTCCAAGACACAAAAAATCGTGTTTGGTCAATAAAAACGATTAACGCAAGAATACAAAAAGATTTTAAAGGGTCTTTTAACGGAAAATACCATATATATATATATATATATATATATATATAGATAGATAGATAGATAGATAGATAGAGAGAGAGAGAGAGAAAGAGTGAGTGAGTGAGAGAGAGATTTTTTATTTTTACATTCCAAAAGGATTGTTAAAATAACGGTAGGAGGTGAAGGGGAAAAGAGAAATACTTTTAAATTCGCTCAAGTGGGTACGGATCGTTTTTATTTAAGGAAAAAAAATGATGTGACGAAGACAAGGGGATTGGAAATGAAATTTAATAAGGGTGGGGTCTTTAAAGACCTAATATAAAACATCTCCTTTACCTCATAATCCACGTCTTAAACGAAATAAAATTAATTTTTTTTTATTCTTCCATACGTGCGTTTGTGTGTGTTGACTGTTTTTGTTTTTCTTTTTGTCATTAGTGACGCGACTGAAATAATCCTTTTAACACCGGAAGTAGAAATCGCTCACATTCCAATGATCTCATTCCTACTTGTTCGACTCATCTTCAGGTGAATCACTTGATGAAGAATCTGTTGCTCAGACCTGTGGGATTGTCATATTGTTTCTTTTATTAGACATTGCCTCGTGTTGAGATCTATTCTGGCGTGGATCGTGAATATTGTGATTAATTTTAATTTTCTACGGAGAGAAATATTTTATTTTTTTATTCATTTTTTTCTTTTTTTACATTTAAAAGTAGAGAATGGCGGGGTGGAAGCAAGTTCAATCTTTTGATTCCAATCATTTGAATATTTGCTTGACGCATGTCATTAAAATTAAAGAAAAAAAAACCTTCTATCTATCTATATCATGTCATATCTGCCGGTGTATCCATCTGTCTCAAGTTCTTCATTATCTATCTATCTATCTATCTATCTATCTATCTATCTATCTATCTATCTATCTATCTCAGTCCATACATATCTATCTATCTATCTATCTATCTATCTATCTATCTATCTATCTATTACAGTTGGTTATATATATTTATTTCATTCATTCGATTCTATCTATCTATCTGTTCAAACACACACACATAAAAAAACACACACACACACACACACACACACACACACACACACACACATATATATATATATATATATATATATATATATATAGGGGAATTTATCTATCTGAAGTTGTACATGTCAATCTATCTATAGCAATCTATAGATATGTATAGATCTGTCTCTGTCAGTTTGTTTTGTCTATCTAGCTATGTTCGTATCTTTCTCTCTCTCTCTCATTCTATATTCTATATATATATATATATGTGTGTGTGTGTGTGTATAAATATATATACATATAAATCTCAGTCTTTTCATATCTCTCTACACACATACGCGCATATATATATATATATATATATATATATATATATATATATATATATATATATATATATGAGAACACTTGTAAAGTTTCAATTTTGACATGTTTCGCATTTATTCATACTTCATATTTAACCTTTTAATGTCCATTGATATATCTTTAAAACGAATTTTTTTCATAACAGACGAAAACTGAATTCTCGTAATGATGTGTGAACCCATATTGCATTTTAGTTTTTTACGTGTGTATTATCGATAAAATAATCGCATCTGGTGCATTCATTTCACTTTCAGTATCGGAAATAGGTCTCAAAATATTTTCCACTTGTGATGAAGTTGGCACTAAAATGTTAAGGATAAAATAGGATTGATGTTAAATGCTCCTAATGCTCCTAATCTACTTCTTTACTCACCCAGTTGTACGCCCCGGTCTTTTTCAGCTGGTTGGAATGTCGAACTGAACCCTTTATTTCGCTCGCTGGGGTAGACTATTCTAGTTCCATATGCCATGTCCCCAAGGACACATGGCACAGTGGATAAAAGCGTTAGTTAGATCCAGTGACTGGACCCAAAAAGTGTGAGTTCAATACCTGGTTAAGGCGGTGGAGAATTTGGAGAGGGGAATTAACAGGAGATAACTGACATCCATTAGATGTTGTGATAAATATGGCAACAAAGATGAGCACAATAGTCCGAATAATGTAAATAGTACACATAATACCTCATCTCAGAAATATAGACAGATACTGAAAGGCCGAAACGTTGTAATAAATATGGCGACAAAGATGAGGACAATAGTCCAATAATGTAAATTTCGCATTTACATAATACCTCATCTCAGAAATATAGACAGATGTCCAAGGGATATGAAACGCTGTAATAAATATTTTTTTCAAAGATGAGGAAAATAGTCCCAATAATGTAAATAGTGTACCCATAATACCTCATCTCAGAAATATACAGATACTGAAAGGCCGAAACGTTGTAAAAATATGGCGACAAAGATGAGGACAATAGTCCGAATAATGTAAATATGTACATAATACCTCATTTCAGAAATATAGACAGATACTGAAAGGCCGAAACGTTGTAATAAATATGGCGACAAAGATGAGGACAATAGTCCGAATAATGTAAATAGTGTACATAATACCTCATCTCAGAAATATAGACAGATACTGAAGGGCTGAAACGCTGTAATAAATATTGCGATAAAGATGGGGACAATAGTCCGAATAATGTAAATAGTTTCACATAATACCTCATCTCAGAAATATAGACAGATACTGAAAGGCCGAAACGTTGTAATCAATATGGTGACAAAGATGAGGACAATAGTCAATAATGGAAATAGTGTACATAATACCTCATCTCAGAAATATAGACAGATACTGAAGGGCTGAAACGCTGTAATAAATATTGCGATAAAGATGTGGACAATAGTCCGAATAATGTAAATAGTGTACATAATACCTCATCTCAGAAATATAGACAGATACTGAAAGGCCGAAACGTTGTAATAAATATGGCGACAAAGATGAGGACAATAGTCCGAATAATGTAAATAGTGTACATAATACCTCATCTCAGAAATATAGACAGATACTGAAAGGCCGAAACGTTGTAATAAATATGGCGAGAAAGATGGGGACAATAGTCCGAATAATGTAAATAGTGTATATAATACCTCATCTCAGAAATATAGACAGATACAGTGGGCTATAAGTTTTTTTTCACTCTTAATTACAAAAACTTTAGCTTGTGTAATAACGTATCTTTTTTTTTTTCAGACAATACCGTGTTAGTATCAAGCTACTCTAATCTATGAATGATAGTTAACTTATATTTTGCAATGAAAGTTTGCAGAAGTAAGGAAATTGGTGAATTTCAACGAGAGCAAATAATAGGATGGCATCAGTGTGGCAAGTCAAATAGAGAAATTGCTAATTTTTTTTCAGGTTAATCATCAAATGGTTAATAATATTGTCAAGACATTTAATGAAGAAGGCCATTGTCGTGTGGAACAACGTTTAGGAAGACCAAACATCGTGCTTGAGTGAACGAAAAGGTCGCTGAATAGGGAAGTCATCAGAAACTGTCGTCAGAGCATCAATGATGTCGCCAACAGCATGGAAATGTTATATGGTGGTGAGAAAAAGAACTAGGCTATCAAAGAAGAGTTGCAAGAAAGAAACCCTTGATTTCAGAGGTTAACAGGAAAAGGTGTATGGACTGGGCAAGAGAATTTGAGAGCCAAGATTAGGAATTTTGGCAGTTTGTAATTTGGACAGAAGAAAGTAAATTCTGCCAGTATTTGAATTCGAGACAGGTTTATATTTGGAGAAATCAGAATGAGATTGGAACAATGAATGTCTGCAGGAAACCGTGAAACATGGAGGAATTGGAGTAATGGGGTGAGGCGCTGTCTGGTGTGGATCAGTGATTTAATAGTCCAACATTCTGTCAAATATTAGAGAAAGGACTACTGTCACTATTTGAAACCAATCAGATTGACAAGAATGTTTACCTTTTTCAAGAAGATGCAGCGCCATGTGATGTGGGTAAAGTAACAAAGGCCTGGAAGGAATCGCAAGGAATCAAGTCACTGCCATGGGTAGACTAAAATCCTGATATGAACTCAATAGAGAACGTTTGGGAGCACCTTCAGCGAAAACTTCAAGAGCGTGCAACCAAAATCACGTCAGTGGCAACCCTTAAAGAAACATTGCAAAAGGAGTGGCTAAATATGGATCAGACAATTGTTGACAACTTGATCAAATCCATGAAAAAAAAATCGAATACAAGCACTGAAACTAGGAAATTGAGGACCTACTCTATACTAGTTCCAAATACTGTTTATGTTGAGTAGGGATTGTATAATTAGATTTTGAAATTGGATGTAGTTTAATTCTCCCGGCTAAAAACTTTTCTTAGACCACTGTATATTTATTTTTGTTTAAGTTTAGGTACGTCACTTTGTTTATTTAGAAAAGTCGATAAACTAATAAAGACTGGTTTGTATATTAATCGAATTTTATATGCCTGTTGTAACTTCAAAATTCCCAATTGTTAGATTAAGATTTGAAGCGTTGTATGAACGTATGAAATGATTAAAGATATCTTATTGGAATTCCCCGAAGTTTTTATAACACTATTGCACTCTACTTTGAACAATAAAAATGTATTTCGCTCTAATTTGAAACGATGATCCATCTTGCTGTTGTGACCTCCTGATTCAGTTTTCATCTCTACTGTTGCTTCTTTTTTTAAACTTATTCACAGTTCTGTATTTGGTTCTTACTATAGATCGTTATACAATTTCATTAACTATTTCACACACACGCACACACACACACACACACACAGACACACAGATAGATAGATAGATAGATAGATAGATAGATAGATAGATAGATAGATAGATATAATTGAACAGACTGAGATAGATAGATAGATAGATAGATAGATAGATAGATAGATAGATAGATAGATAGATATAATTGAACAGACTGAGATAGATAGATAGATAGATATAATTGAATAAACGGAGATAGATAGATAGATAGATAGATAGATAGATAGATAGATACCAGGCGTAACAGCAAAATTGTCCAAATCGTGTAAAAGCAAAATTGACCATCTTTTAGATTAAGCTTTAAACTTTTCTATCTTAGAAATGATTAAAGATATCTTACTGAAATTCTCATTAATTAATCATAGCTAAGGCCCTGAAACTCATAAAGGATTAAAATTATGCACACGCACGCACACACAAAAATATATATATGTATATTTTATTCCAGGATCATTTTCCAACTTATTGAAAATATATATATATATATATATATATATATATATATATATATATATATATATATATATATATATATATCTTGTTTCGTAGAAATGATTAAAGATATCTTACTGGAATAGTCCGAGGTTTTTCTAACACTATTGAACTCTACTTTGAGCAATAAGAATGTATAATTACTCGCCAAGCAACAGAAGAATCATGATGAAAAATGTCATGTTCATTATTATTTAATCATAGCTAAGGATAGGAATCTCATGAAGTATTGAAATTAAGATCATATATATATATATATATATATATATATATATATATATATATATATATATATATATATATTCTAACTTATTCAAGTTGATCTTCGGCTTCTCTTACTTTCTTTCTGTTTTGGAGTACAAATGTGCCTCACACATTTCACGTACGATTTCATTTTCAAGCTTACAACACATAGATGAATAGATATGATTGGACGGAGATAGATAGATAGATAGATAGATAGATAGATAGATAGATAGATAGATAGATAAGAAGAGACATAACGTACATATGAACTCTAAAGGGTATGTCCCAATCCTCATAAATAAGTTGAGCACTATTGTAAGTGGGGTAATGTGCTGTTTAAGTAGTTCGTCACTAGCAGTGGTTTACCTACTTCCCGGCGTTGGCGAGTATTGTACTTTTGTTGGTATTATTAAAGATTACCATTCCATTTCTAACTTCTGTCTTGGTTATTCCTCATTCAGTAAACTTTTCTAGGTTACAACATGGATAGATATGAATGGACTGAGATAGATAGATAGATAGATAGATAGATAGATAGATAGATAGATAGATAGATAGATATGAATAGAATGAAATACATAGATTGATAGATATAAATAGACTGAGAAGATAGATAGATAGATAGATAGATATGAATAGACTGAGATAGATAGATAGATAGATAGATAGATAGATAGATATGAATAGACTAAAATACATAGATTGATAGATATGAATAGACTGAGATAGATAGATAGATAGATAGATAGATAGATAGATAGATAGATAGATATGAATAGACTAAAATACATAGATTGATAGATGACTGAGATAGACTGAGATAGATAGATAGATAGATAGATAATAGATGAAATACATAGATAGATAGATAGATAGATGATAGATAGATATAGACTAAAAATACATAGATTGATAGATATGAATAGACTGAGATAGATAGATAGATAGATAGATAGATAGATAGATGGATGATAGATAGATGAATGGATATGAATAGACTGAAATACATAGATTGATAGATATGAATAGATAGACTGAGATAGATAGATAGATAGATAGATAGATGGATAGATAGATAGATAGATAGATAGATAGATAGATAGATATGAATAGACTGAAATGAATGGATTGATAAATATGGATAGACTGAGATAGATAGATAGATAGATAGATAGATAGATAGATAGATAGATAGATGGATAGATGAATATAGACTAAAATACATAGATTGATAGATTGATAGATAGATGAATAGACTGAGATGAATAGATACATAGATTGATAGATAGATAGACTAGATAGATAGATAGATAGATAGATAGATAGATAGATATGATAGATAGATATGAATAGACTGAAATACATAGATTGATAGATATAAATAGACTGAGAAGATAGATAGATAGATAGATAGATAGATAGATATAGATATGAATAGACTGAAATACATGAGATTGATAGATATAAATAGACTGAGAAGATAGATAATAGATGAATAGATGGATGGATAGATAGATAGATAGATATGATAGACTAAATATAGATTGATAGATAGATAGATATAGATAGATAGATATGAATAGACTGAAATACATATATTGATAGATATGAATAGACTGAGATAAGATAGAGGATAGATATGAATAGACTGAAATACATAGATTGATAGAGATAGATAGATATGAATAGACTGAAATACATAGATTGATAGATATGAATAGACTGAGATAGATAGATAGATAGATAGATAGATAGATAGATAGATAGATAGATAGATAGATAGATAGATAGATATGAATAGACTGAAATACATAGATTGATAGATATAAATAGACTGAGAAGATAGATAGATAGATAGATAGATAGATAGATAGATAGATAGATATGAATAGACTGAAATACATATATTGATAGATATGAATAGACTGAGAAGGATAGATAGATAGATAGATATGAATAGACTGAAATACATAGATTGATAGATATGAATAGACTGAGAAGGATAGATAGATAGATAGATATAATAGATATGATAGATAGACTGAAATACATAGATTGATAGATAGATAGATGAATAGACTGAGAATAGATTGGATAGATAGATAGATAGATAGATAGATGAATGAATAGACTGAAATACATAGATTGATAGATATGAATAATGAGATAGATAGATAGATAGATAGATAGATAGATAGATAGATAGATAGATATGAATAGACTGAAATACATAGATTGATAGATATGAATAGACTGAGAAGGATAGATAGATAGATAGATAGATAGATAGATAGATAGATAGATATGAATAGACTGAAATACATAGATTGATAGATATGAATAGACTGAGATAGATAGATAGATAGATAGATAGATAGATAGATAGATAGATAGATAGATAGATATGAATAGACTGACATACATATATTGATATATATGAATAGACTGAGATAGATAGATAGATAGATAGATAGATAGATAGATATGAATAGACTGAAATACATAGATTTCTAGCTTACAACATATACTGAATTAGTAGCGCTCCCTATTCTCGTGTAATAAAGATAACATTTTGGAAAAAATACTTTTTAACAATAGAATGGAGATGAAAGGTTAAGATTTCACTGGCGTCCCACTATTTGTTCATGGCGTCATTTCAGCCGCATTATGTTTAAGATGCTCTATCACCTACCAAACAGGATCACCTAAAACGCAGGAACTTGTGTTCTGACCTTCAAAGATCGTAATATGTATTGAGGAAAAAATACTGCTAATCAATCTCGATTTGGAGACAAAATTAACAAAAGTAATTAATTTGGCAAGATGGCCCAAAAGTTTAGTAGGCCAGTGTATTTAATCAAGAGGTGGTTGCTAAAAGGATTTTCAGAGTAGATTTTTCTCCTAAGTGACCGTCCCAAAAAACATCGTCTTGAAACTCAGTATTAGTAATAATGCTAACCTTATGAGGAAATATTTGATATTCATTGGCCAAGCAGCTACTATTACTGTCGCTTGAAATTAATCAAATATCTCTCTTAAAACAAACTTTATGGGAAAATAGGTTTATCAAGTATAGTAGCTGTTATCGCTCTTTCCAGTGACGTTTTGTTTGAAGTCGTGTGGAATGTCAACATCTTGATTACGTCATTATTTTCTCTTCTCAAGCCCAGTAGCTGTTATCACTCTTTCCAGTATTGATAGCGGTTTCCTTCCTAATCTTTAATTTGAAGTCGTGTGGAATCTCAACATCTTGATTACGTCATTATTTTCTCTTCTCATGCCCAGTAGCTGTTTTCATTTTTTCCAGTATTGATAGGGTTTTCCTCCCTAATATTTTAGTTGAAGTAGTGTAGAATGTTAACATCTTGATTATGTCATTATTTTCTCTTCGAGTTACGTGTGCTAACCATTATTGTTGTTGTTAGTCATCAAACAACGTGGCATGTGTTATTTGGTACGGTAGTTTGTTTGTGATAATATAACGAGAGTTCATAAGAAACAAAGAAGGATGTTCTTTGCCAAGACTCTCAGGTTTCACTCACTCAAAGCTTAAAAACTTAACCATTGATCTGAGAAAAAGGCTGTTTACAGCTGAGAATTTAGATATTATACGATTAGTTTTGAAAATAATAACATCAGAAGTTTGTCCTGTCAGTCAGGGAACGTGTTTGAACTGGTAGAAGCAGTTTTTTTTTGAACTGGTAGAAGCAGTTTTTTTTTTTTTGAACTGGTAGAAGCAGTTTTTTTTTTTTGAACTGGTAGAAGCAGTTTTTTTTGAACTGGTAGAAGCAGTTTTTTTTTTTTTTGAATTGGTAGAAGCAGTTTTTTTTTTTTTTTTTTTTTTTTTTTGAACTGGTAGAAGCAGTTTTTTTTTAACTGGTAGAAGCAGTTTTTTTTTGAACTGGTACAAGCAGTTTTTTTTTTTTGAACTGGTAGAAGCAGTTTTTTTTTGAACTGGTAGAAGCAGTTTTTTTTTTTTGCTAAACAAGTGGTTTTCTTGAGGTAAAAAGAGAGACAGTTACGATTCCTGTCGGAAGCTGAAGGCATTCTCAGTTTAGGTCGGTTGAAATTATTTTCAATGTTTAATGAAATAAAAAGATCAGAGGTAACAACTCAGACCTATGTCCTCACTAAAAATAACATAAGAAGAAAAAAATATCTGATATCCTTTCAATATATATATATATATATATATATATATATATATATATATATATATATATTTATTAAAAAATATGATTCCAACACGCTACATAAGAGTTCTCATGTTTCAAAACAAGAGCCGAAAACTTCAACATAATTATTTGAATTAAATTGAATTAAAGTACCAAGCTCATTTCCATCTTCAAGCGAAACCTTTTTGATTTACACACACACACACACACACACATATATATATATATATATATATATATATGTAAGCAAATGTAAATGGATATAGATCCGATAGAATGAAGAAAAATTTGGAAAAAAACAAACAAAAATCCTTAAATGCAATTATGTTGTTTAAAATTAATGAAATGTCGACGTCTGAAAGCGTCGCCCATGTGACGACAACGTGACCATGCTAAACGGAAAGCTGATCATTTTAAAAATTTTCAGTTATCTGTTTTGGATAGGACTTGTTTTTTATGTCCATCGTCTTTGTCAAATTGAACTGAATTGTGTTTTAATGAATATTGTCCTGAAGAAGGTTTATTAAACCGAAACGTCAGACGTCGACATTTCATTCATTTTAAACAACATAATTGCATTTAAGGATTTTTTGTTTGTTTTTTTCCAAATTTTTCATCTATATATATATATATATATATATATATATAAAGAACGAAGAATAATATTTCAGCGTTCGAAACATTAATTTAAAACAGGGATCAATACAAAAGTAGAGCCGTAAATATTTACTTATTATGCAGTGTTACATTAGAACATGTAGATACCAACTACAAAACTGTACATCTTGTTTGAACGTTAAAAGAAGTCATTTTTAACGATGCACATCATGATTCCCCACCTGATGAAACTTTAAAAAAGATATTTTTAACTTTGAAACAAGATGTGTGTGCATGTTCTAATGTAACACTGCATAATATATATATATATATATATATATATGTATGTATATCGAATATAATTCTAATAAAAACGATAAAGCTAACTCTTGATATTAACTACGAACACGGACACAATGTGCTAACCGTATTCGAAAATTAAAAAACATCTCAACAACACATTAAACATACACATAATGCCCAAACTCTGGGTCACCTTCTGCTTACCTCGGGGTTCTTGACAAGATCCAGAGGCGGATATGCAATATAACTGGCCCTGATCTGGCATCTCGTCTGCAGTCACTCTCTCACAGACGCGCCGTCACCTCTCTCTGTCTTTTCTATAAATACTTTCATGGCGATTGCTCCGACGAGCTGCTTTCACTGGTTCCCAGACTCCATGAATTCAAGCGCCCTACGAGGCTGGCATCCCGCTCTCACCCTTACACTGTAGAAACTTTTAAATGTAGCCGTCTCTTCTACTCCAATAGCTTCATACCTCGCACCTCTCGCCAGTGGAACACCCTCCCCAATTACTGTTTCCCTGAGAGCTATAATCTCCAACTATTCAAATGTAATGTCAATCGACATCTCCTTGATCTATCCACTATCCTTCTCCTCATCCTTTCTTCTATCACTCCTATCTGCTCTTGCTCCAAATCTTCTGCAACCCCCTGCATCCTAGTGGCTTCACGCTTTGCTCGGAGCGTAATGCTTAAAAAAAATCAATTAAGCTGAAAAATCGAATCATCTTTGATAATGATTAAAGGTATAGCGAAAGCGGTCGGAACTATAAAACATTTAGACAGTTTTTACAGCTTAACCGTAGTACCTTGTCTGTCGTTTTTAATGAAACATGCATATATATATATATATATATATATATATATATATATATATATATATATATATATATATATATATATATATATGTATGTATGTATGTATGTGCGTGTGTACGCTGTATGTATCTGTATGTATTGACATACATACATATAGGTATACGGCCACATCACCTTGAAACACAAATACCCGTAGGATGACCGAAACTAAGCAACGTCGAACCTGGTCATTAACTAGATGGGTGATCGCTTGGAATTACTAATTGCTGTAAGCTTGGATGTGCAGGTGATATAAAGGTTTTAAGGCCACATCACGTTATAAGAGTGGATCCCGTACGGACAGCGAAGTTAAGCAACGTCGAGCCTGGTTAGGATCTAGATGGGTGACCGCTTGCAAATACCAGGTGCTGTAACCTTGAATGTGCTATTTGTATAAAGAGTTTACGGCCACATAAATTTGAAACAAGTTTCGGTATGACTACTGAAGTTAAGCCACGTCGAACTTGGTCAGTACCTAGTAGGGTGACCGCTTGGGAATACCAGGTTCTGTAAGCTTGGTTGTGCGGGTGAGAAAATGGATAATTGGTCGGAATTGTTAATCGGAGAGCCGAGTTCGAATTCCTGTTGTGTTATATTTACTTACCCTTGAAAAATGTATGAATCCAAGTCTTATTCCCCCTACTATGGGTTAATTAGTAAGACTTGTAACACTGAATCATTATTACGTTACAACCTAAAATATTTTCTGGCTTCAAATATTATACAAGCGGTAGAAAATAAATCAAGCAATTAAAGAGTATTGCTTGATTATTTTCCTATTTTCAAATTTTATGACTAATTTTTATTTATTGAAATTTCAAACGCGAACCAGAGTTTTAATTATTCCTCAAGAGGGCCCTGAAATAAAATAAAAGGGTGAGAAACCTGCGCCAATGTCATAAGGGTGAGTGAGTCACTTGAGTGACACGTTTCACTGATGATCTAACAGTTTATGTTTCAATCTAGGCATTCGTCATAGAAGAGTATTTTGCATGTGATATTTTAAGAATCAGTTTTGAGTTTTAAATGACATCATTTTAAATAATGACAAATAAGAAAAGTCAAATTAAAAATGAGAAATCTTTTTAATAGTCTTTAGAGTCAATGAGTTTAATATGATTTCTTTTTTTTTTCTTTTTTCTTTTTTGCTTACGCTGATCTTATAATTATTATTTATGAAGTTTAGGCTGAAAAGGTCGTAGATAGAAAGAGTGACTAAAGATGTGAAATCGTGCATGCCTAAATTTCAACACTTCTATTTTATAACTGCATTGTTTCTTTCCATGTACGATGGTGGTTGAAAAGTTCATAGGCTGACATTAAAGGAGTGATGTGACATATTGCATGCATTAATTTCAACTCTCCTTATTAAAAACTGCATTGTTTCTTTCCAGGCACGATAGTGGGCTGAAAAGTTTATAGGCTGACAATGAAACTGTGATGCTAGACCTGTGACATATTGCATGCATTAATTTCAACTCTTCTTATTAAAAACAGCAGGCAGGATGGTGGGGTGAAAAGTTCAGACCTGGACATATTGACAATGAAATAACAGCAGGCA